GGGATTTAGGGGGGTTAGGGGTTTAGGGGTTTAGGGTTTAGGGTTTAGGGTTCATAGGGTTTATGGTTCGGGGGTTTTCGGGGGTTTTAGGGGTTTAGGGGTTTAGGGGTTTAGGGTTTAGGGTTTTAGGGGGTTTAGGGGTTTAGGGTTTTTGGGTGTAGGGCTTAGGGGTTTAGGGTGTAGGGCTTAAGGGTTCAGGGGTATAGGTTTTGGGGGTTTAGGTTTAGGAGTTTTGGAGTTGAAGTTTAAGATTTGGGGTTTAGCCTTAAGCAACTTTAGGGTTTAGCAATTGAAGTTTAGGATTCGGCGTTTAGGGTTTAGCGTAAGCAACTTAAGCGGCCCAATCATGGCCGCTTCTGTGCCTGTGCAAACGCAATCCGCCGAATGCGAGCGTCAGTTCGCAAAGTTCACAAGGATGAAGGATATGCTGGGAACCAGCACACAAGTCCTCGTGGAAGATATTTTGTGTTGGGACGTTGCCTTGTCGAGTAACGAAGGCAAGCATGCATCACTGCTGGGACGGCAACGGGCGGTGAGAAAGGACATGGGTGAGAAGCGTGCGGTGTGCAGCAAAATACAAAACATTTGAGCAGCTAAAATGCCTTGGCCGGCCGCAAATCCAGCGAACGTGCAACAAATTCGGTTAATTAGGGGGGTGGTGAGTTGGCGGAAGCCGTTAGCACATCAGCAAGAGCCAAATGCGCCCCCTGGGACTTCGCGGGCGCTTCACTACCGCAGAATATCGGAAACGGGAGTTTGTTCTTCCGTAACCCCCAATCAAATAATTGAAAGGTCGCAAGCGTTTTCTTTCTTGGCCCCAGAAACATTGTGCTAGGATGGGCTTTTCAGTTTTGTTTCCTGTTGGTTTTCTACGCTCGAGTCGATTGGCTTCCCCAAGTCCCAGCTGACTTGCTGCAGATTCGCTGGAGTGTGCTACTGCAAATCCAGCGAAATTGCGGCAGATTCGGTTTATTTTGAGGGTGAGTGTGAGATGCGCCTTCAAAGGTCGTGTGGGGTGGTCGGCAGAAGTGGCTGAATGGTCTTCGCCTTCTTTCTGCTTCTGAAGGCACTGGTTCAAACCGAGGCTGCTGAAATCAAGGACGAGGTCGGAACTACGAGGTAGGCGAAGCATTGAAACAGAGAGGCTCAGTGAAATATGATACTCGAGGTACGAGGTGAGAAATATTTTAATCTTGCAAGTTAGGAAAGTATCAGCGAAATCATGTTCTGATTCTTCAGGCCGCTATACTAGTGGAAATCCATAGTGGCTTTGGGGCTTGGCTTATCGAGTCTAGATGCTTAGTGCCCAAGCTTGTGTTGATCAGTGCTCGGGTGGGAACTGTCCTCCGGGCGGGTGCCTCCGCCCCACACCCTAAACCCCAAATCACCCCTAAATCCTAGGCGCTAAACCCTAAACCCTAAGCCCCATGCAAACTCTGGACCCCAGACTTAAGGTCTACGACCAAGGCCGTAAGCCCGAGACTCGTCAGAATCGACCCGGGGCCATGGATCCTCAACTCTAATATGAAAGCCTAGACAATTACCAGCTGTATTTTTTTAGGGGGGGGGGGGGTCCTGATTATGATGAT